ATTTTGTACGCTTATATTTAAAGCAGGCCACGATAATACGAATGCAAAATAATTCAATCGAAACTACTGAGTGTAGCCTAGTTCTGGGCATAGTTCATCGTAAACTCTTCTAAAGTGACGGGCAGGACATGTCCCAGGTCGAAAATATTTGATTTCCACCAGAGCCCGGGGTATTGCTTGCGCATTATCAAAAGTCTATTAAGATGTGAATCGCTTTGCCAATCTCCTGTTAAGGTTATTGTTTCCCCGTGCTCTTCCGAAAATTCATGGGCATCTTTATACCTTTTGTCACCTGGTAGCAAATACATGGGTACCAATGAATCATTTGTTTTATTGCATTTGGCATATGCGAGGACGCAGTTCCATCGCCGACAACCGAAGCTGGCCCTTTGTCTGGCGAACCTCGTGAGCTGTGCGACATGAGGGAATCTAATTACGCGGCAAAGCTCGTAGGCCTGTGGAGGCATTAGAGGGGACTTTGTAGTGCTCATAAAGACAGGTCCCTCGTCGTTTGGATTATGTGAAAGGAAGGCGGCTGGGGAATCAAGGTATAATGAGTGAACTTCTTCAGATGGCTCAGATATTACAGATGATGATCCCCCATTTAAATATTTTAGGCCAGATATCCCCGCGTAGTAGAAAATGGTATCGAAGCGCTTCTTGTTATGTGCAGGGGTAAGCCAGTTTGACCACTCCTCTAGCGCGCTAAGCGGAAGCTTAAGGCCTAATTCTCCATAAAGCAATGCCAGCGAGCCCGCTTTCTCCTGTACTCTTTTCCTCCATGCTTTGCAGTCGCTGTGGCTTAGCAGACAGGCAAGCAAATGGGGAGGCTTAGATTCGTCGCTTTTATCGCAAGCCAGGAGGATCCCAGTCTCCTCGAATAGTTCCCTTACTGCACATATTCTCAGGGCTTGGCTGGCAGGAAGGGAATCGCTTTCATTCGCCATATAGTACTTTTCAGCGTCCGAGTAAATCTGTGGTTGGAACTTTGACTTTCTTACATCCTGGGGCGGTGTCACGACTTCTCGCCAATTGTGAGAGAAATCTTCAGGAGAGACTACTCCGCCGGGGAAGACGTTGCGACC